AATGTTATAATGGACTTGGGAATGCCAGAGTGATCTTGGCAATGCCATAATGAGTTTGGGAATGGCACGGTGAGCTCGGGAATGCTGTAGTGATCTTGGGAATGCCACGAGGAGATTGGAAATACCCTGATGAGCTTGGGAATGCCACGGCAAGCTTGGGAATGCCAGGATGAGCCTGGGAATGCCATGGTGAGCTTGGGAATGTTATAATGAATTTGGGAATGCCATGACGAGCTCGGGAATGCCATGGGGAGCTTGGGAATGCCAGGATGAGCCTGGGAATGCCGCGGCAACCTCGGGAATGCCATAATGAGCTTGGGAATATTATAATGGACTTGGGAACGCCACGATGAGCCTGGGAATGCCGCAGCGAGCTTGGGAATGTCATGATGAGCCTGGGAATGCCATAGTGAGCCTGGGAATATTTTAATGGACTTGGGAATGCTGCGGCAACCTTGGGAATGCCATGACGAGCTCGGGAATGCTATAACGAGCTTGGGAATATTATAATGGACTTGGGAATGCCATAATGAGCTTGGGAATGCCACGGTAAGCTCGGGAATATTATAATGGACTTGGGAATGCCACGGCGAGCTTGGGAATGTTATGATGACCTTGGGAACGCCATGACGAGCTTGGGAATGCTGTAATGACCTTGGGAATGCCATGGCGAGCTTGGGAATATTATAATGGACTTGGGAATGCCATGATGACCTTGGGAATGCCATGGTGAGCTTGGGAATGCCATGACGAGCTTGGGAATGTTATAATGAAAATTCACCAAAACACCCCAGATTCACCCCAAAGGGATAAAAAACAGGGATTTTTTTGCAACCTGGTGTAAATCAGGGTAAAATACACCAAAACACCCCGGTTTCACCCCAAAAGGGGAAAAAAAAGGGTTATTTTTGCAACCTGGTGTAAATGGGGGAGCAACGCACCAAAACACCCCAGTTTCACCCCAAAGGGATTAAAAAATGGAGATTTTTTTGCAATCTGGTGTAAATCAGGGTAAAATTCACCAAAACACCCCAGATTCACCCCAAAGGGATAAAAAACAGGGATTTTTTTGCAACCTGGTGTAAATCAGGGTAAAATACACCAAAACACCCCGGTTTCACCCCAAAAGGGGAAAAAAAAGGGTTATTTTTGCAACCTGGTGTAAATGGGGGAGCAACGCACCAAAACACCCCAGTTTCACCCCAAAGGGATTAAAAAATGGAGATTTTTTTGCAATCTGGTGTAAATCAGGGTAAAATTCACCAAAACACCCCAGATTCACCCCAAAGGGATAAAAAACAGGGATTTTTTTGCAACCTGGTGTAAATCAGGGTAAAATACACCAAAACACCCCGGTTTCACCCCAAAAGGGGAAAAAAAAGGGTTATTTTTGCAACCTGGTGTAAATGGGGGAGCAACGCACCAAAACACCCCAGTTTCACCCCAAAGGGATTAAAAAATGGAGATTTTTTTGCAATCTGGTGTAAATCAGGGTAAAATTCACCAAAACACCCCAGATTCACCCCAAAGGGATAAAAAACAGGGATTTTTTTGCAACCTGGTGTAAATCAGGGTAAAATACACCAAAACACCCCGGTTTCACCCCAAAAGGGGAAAAAAAAGGGTTATTTTTGCAACCTGGTGTAAATGGGGGTGCAACGCACCAAAACACCCCAGTTTCACCCCAAAGGGATTAAAAAATGGAGATTTTTTTGCAACCTGGTGTAAATCAGGGTAAAATTCACCAAAACACCCCAGTTTCACCCCAAAGGGATTTAAAAATGGAGATTTTTTTGCAACCTGGTGTAAATCAGGGTAAAATTCACCAAAACACCCCGGTTTCACCCCAAAAGGGGAAAAAAAGGGTTATTTTTTGCAACCTGGTGTAAATGGGGGTGCAACGCACCAAAACACCCCAGTTTCACCCCAAAGGGATAAAAAACAGGGATTTTTTTGCAACTTGGTGTAAATTAGGGCACAATGCACCAAAACACCCCAGTTTCACCCCAAAGGGATAAAAAACAGGGATTTTTTTGCAACCTGGTGTAAATCGGGGTAAAATGCACCAAAACGCCGGCGTTTCCGGCTCCCCGGCGAGGATGAGGAGGACGAAGGCTCCGGGACCCTCATCGGGACCCACGGAGGTCACATGACCTGGGGAAGAGCCCCGGTTTCATTAATTTGCCCCCGCTAATTGGGTTAATTAACCAATGAATGACGCAACGAGGCCGTTACCTTGAACAGGGTGACCCCGGTGCTGTAGCAGAGGCTGAGGAGGAAGAGGAAGATGAAGGTCACGGCCGTCCACAGGTCGCCGGGGTCCTCGGGGCTCTCGGCCGTCGCGTCCTCGCCGAACGTGACCACGACCCAGTCTGGGGGGACAGAACCGGGGGGTCCAATGAGCTCCCGCTGGGCTTTGGGGCAAAAAACGGCGATTTTGGGGCCAAAAACGCCCCCATTTCCCGCCCCGTGGTGAAGCAGCAGCGCCGCGATGGGTTTTTGGGCTCAAATCCACCCCCAAAATCCCCCATTTTCCCCCCATTTTCACCTGCCCCCAAAGCAAGGCCCGGGGGGATCCTTCGGCCCGTCGTTTTGGGGTGAAAAAGGGGCGTTTTGGGGTAACTCGGTGTCCAGAAGGAGCCAACGGGGGTGGGAGGGAGGAGCGATGAGTTTGGGGGTCCTGAGGGGGTTTCTTGCCCTTCTGGGGGGATGTGGGTTGTTTGGGGCTCTTTTCCCCGTGTTTTGGGCTCTTTCCCACCCATTTTGGGCTCTTTTCCCCCGTTTTGGCTTCTTTTCCCCTGTTCTAGGCTCTTTTCCCCCCATTTTGGGCTCTTTTCCCCTGTTCTAGGCTCTTTCCTCCCCATTTTGGCTCTTTTCCCCCCATTTTCGCACTTTCCTCACCATTTGGGCTCTTTCCTCCCCATTTTGGCTCTTTTCCCCCCATTTTCGCACTTTCCTCACAATTTGGGCTCTTTCCTCCCCATTTTGGCTCTTTTCTCCCCGTTTTGGCTCTTTCCTCCCCATGTTGGCTCTTTTCCCCCCATTTTCGCTCTTTCCTCACCATTTTGGCTCTTTCCTCCCCATTTTGGCTCTTTTCCCCCCATTTTCGCTCTTTCCTCCCCATTTTGGCTCTTTCCTCCCCATTTTGGCTCTTTTCCCCCCATTTTCGCTCTTTCCTCACCATTTGGGCTCTTTTCTCCCCATTTTGGCTCTTTTCTCCCCATTTTGGGCTCTTTCCCCCCATTTGGGCTCTTTCTTCCCCCTTTTGGGCTCTTTCCTCCCCCTTTTGGGCTCTTTCTTCCCCTTTTGGGCTCTTTCTTCCTCTTTTGGGCTCTTTCTTCCCCATTTTGGGCTCTTTCCTCCAATTTTGGGCTCTTTTACCCCGTTTCAGGCTCTTTCCCCCCATTTCAGGCTCTTTCTCCCCATTTGGGGCTCCTTTCCCCTCATTTTGGGTTATTTCTTCCCAATTTCGGGCTCTTTCCCCCCATTTCAGGCTCTTTCCCCCCATTTCAGGCTCTTTCTCCCCATTTGGGGCTCCTTTCCCCTCATTTTGGGTTATTTCTTCCCAATTTCGGGCTCTTTCCCCCCATTTCAGGCTCTTTCCCCCCATTTCAGGCTCTTTCTCCCCATTTGGGGCTCCTTTCCCCTCATTTTGGGTTATTTCTTCCCAATTTCGGGCTCTTTCCCCCCATTTCAGGCTCTTTCCCCCCATTTCAGGCTCTTTCTCCCCATTTGGGGCTCCTTTCCCCTCATTTTGGGTTATTTCTTCCCAATTTCGGGCTCTTTCCCCCCATTTCAGGCTCTTTCCCCCCATTTCAGGCTCTTTCTCCCCATTTGGGGCTCCTTTCCCCTCATTTTGGGTTATTTCTTCCCAATTTCGGGCTCTTTCCCCCCATTTCAGGCTCTTTCCCCCCATTTCAGGCTCTTTCTCCCCATTTGGGGCTCCTTTCCCCTCATTTTGGGTTATTTCTTCCCAATTTCGGGCTCTTTCCCCCCATTTCAGGCTCTTTCCCCCCATTTCAGGCTCTTTCTCCCCATTTGGGGCTCCTTTCCCCTCATTTTGGGTTATTTCTTCCCAATTTCGGGCTCTTTCCCCCCATTTCAGGCTCTTTCCCCCCATTTCAGGCTCTTTCTCCCCATTTGGGGCTCCTTTCCCCTCATTTTGGGTTATTTCTGACCGGCCCCCCATAGACCGGCCCAGTTGGCCCTTCCAGTAGAACAGACCCTTCCAATAGAGCAAACCCTTCCAATAGACGGGTCCAGTTGGCCCTGCCGGTAGGTTGGACCCTCCCAGTAGACCAGTCTCTTCCAGGAGAGCGGCCCATTGGGCTCTCCCAGTGGCCCAGTTGACCCTTCCAATAGACCAGACCCTTCCAGTTGACCCATCTCTTCCACTAGACCAGCCCAGTTGACTCCTCCAATAGACCAGACCCTTCCAGTAGACCAGACCCTTCCAATAGACCAAGCCCTTCAGTAGACTGGCCCAGTTGGCTCTTCCAATAGACCAGACCCTTCCAGTTGACCCATCTCTTCCCATAGAGCGGCCTGGTTGACCCTTCCAATAGACTAGACCCTTCCAATAGACCAAACACTTCCAGTAGAGCTGCCCAGTTGACCCTTCCAGTAGAATAGACCCTTCCAATAGACCAAGCCCTTCTGTAGAGTGGCCCAATTGGCTCTTCCAATAGACCAGACCCTTCCAATAGACCAAGCCCTTCCACTAGGGTGGCCCAGTTGACTCCTCCAATAGACCAGACCCTTCCAGTTGACCAAACCCTTCCCGTAGACTGGCCCTGTTGACCCTTCCAGTAGAATAGACCCTTCCAATAGACCAAACCCTTCCAGTAGACCGGCCCAGTTGCCTCCTCCAATAGACCAGACCCTTCCAATAGACCAAGCCCTTCCAGTAGAGCGGCCCGGTTGACCCTTCCAGTTGCCTCATCTACCCCAATAGCCCCAGCTCTCCATCCGACCCCATCCACCCGCGTCACCTCTCCCACCCGACCACCCCGGCGCGGGACCGGGCGTCCCGGAGCTCCTACCCGTGCTCTTCTCGATGCTCTTGCTGATGGGCTCGAGCAGCTCGGGGCCGGACACGGTGCACGTGAAGGTCTCCCCCGAGTTCCACTCCTCGGCGCAGACCTTGAGGAGCCTGGCGACGCGGTAGAGCCCGGTGTCCTGGGCGCGGCCTCCCCGGTGGCCGCGTCCAAGGAGCCGCCGCTGCCGCCCTTGCGCTTCCACGAGAAGGTGACGTCGCCCGGCGCCCGCACGTTGGTGGCCACGCAGGTCACGCTGGCGTTCTGCGTCACGAAGAGCTCCTCCAGGGTGGGCGGGAAGATCTCCACGATCACCGTGGCGTCATCTGCGTGGAGGAAGTGGCAGGTATTAACATTTTTCCCAAAAAAGAGAGAAAAAATGGCTTTTTTCCCCAAAAAAAGAGAGAAAATATGGCATTTTTCTCAAAAAAGAGAGAAAAAATGGCTTTTTCTCCTCAAAAAACTAGAAGCCCTCTCCTTCTTCTGGGTTCTCACCCAGGGGCTTTTTTTAGAGCTGCTGTCATCTCCC